GGCCGGCCAGGAAGCCGCGCTTCTCGCGCACGGCGCCCGCCGCCGCGCACGCCACCACGCACAGTACTACCAGCTGCGAACAAACAAATTTACACACCTTTATAACATATCTCCATTGCCTCGTAATGTTTGGAGGAACGGCATTAATGAGAGTCACTCACGAAGGATTTCATGTCGAAGTGAGTCAGTGAGGTCCTCGTCGGTCTGCGAGCTGCGAGTGGCGAGTGGTGCCCCGTCTCGCGGGCCACTGTATATATAACACGACTTCGAAGAGGTGTCGCAAGATGTCCTCGCCAGACGAAGCCCCCGAAATTTGCACTCGGTGGTCGATTCGCAGTGTTTTGCATTAACTTTATATGTATAATAATGAGTGCATTAAAGTTTTTATTTTTTCGTACATTGCATTCATTGAAAAGATATTTCTATAGTGATACTCGTATAAGTAAGCTGTATAAAATAAATAAAGTACGCGTTTTGTAAAAACAAAGAATATTTTAAATGGTATATTATGTCATCGGTTGCACTCGAGCAAGAATGCTCCGAATGCGAATGTGGGAACTGGACTTGGCACTCTCTGGTCGCGGTCAACGTTTACGACTTAAACCAGACAATACTCGACACTCATTATCTGGATCCTCTTCAAAACCACACAAACAAACCTACAAATGTTGTAAATTATACAATTGCATCATTTACAATATTTGTAATTCGTTTAATTAGACTCGATTGCATTAGAACATACAGGATGTATTAGGAAATCAATTATGCAATTTATTTTTAACACTGATTTGTCCACTCCTTTAAGTTTTTATGGTTAATTATTGTAAATAAGGTGCTTTAAATCAAAATATACCATGGAATTAAAAACAGCCTGTCGATTTTATAAATTATGGTGGTTTAATCAATACAATTTTATTAACCTCGAACAACATCCTTGAAGTCATGATTGATATTAAAAATAACGTTTTTCGACGAATTTGACGGACTAAATAAACTCGACTAGTTCTGTAGAAAAAGTATTTTTTTTGTCTTCTCCGTATATAATTGGAAAGTGAACTCATTTATTTATTGCAAAAACAAGTAGAATATTTGTATTCTTATAAACAAATCAATGTTTTACACACATTTTTGCGTAAACAAAACAATTATATGTACAAGTAGACGTTCAGATAGTGTTGCCAGGCGTCCGGAAAAAGCCGTACATAGGTAGGCTTTTTGATTGCGTGTCCGGCCAAAATAAACATTATACATTTCGCAAAGGAGTGTGGCCGAGTTATGATAATAATAAAAAAGCTTGATTTTACATACATGTTTTGCCGTACCTATACTACGTATACTGAGACAAAATCCTCAATAATGTAGGCCGTCCAGCCTTTTTACCCAAATGTACTGTCAAACTGGCTGGACCGTCCGGCTATTAGTTTTGGCGACCTGGCAACCCTACATGCAGACAGCATGGACAATGGCGTTTCATTGTCATCGTGATTGTTCTCGTAGAACTTGCAATCTAAATTTTTTTTTATATCATAATGTGGCAAACAAGCGAGCGGCCACCTGAAATCGCTGAAATAGCGAAGTGACCGTTGCCCATAGACATACGCGATTGCATATGCGTTGCCTATCTTTAATTTACGGTGGAGAGGATGCACAGAAAGAAAACATAAAATTTCGCGATTATTGTTTTTGAATTATACAACATAAATAAAATTGTTTCTTTCTATTCCTACTTTATTTTTTAGAACTACATATAGAAATAAAAGATGAAACCAAACATTGAGATGACGATAAGCAAAAAGAAATGTTTTTAATGTTTTTTTTAATTAATTGTGCGAGACATAATTGTAATAAATTCAAAAAGTAATAATATACTTAAGTTATTCTACTAGTTATTTGTTAGATTAATATAATATTATTACAAGATCGATTCTCGATAGTTCATAGTTGTTCGTTATGCGCGTACGGTCCGACACTATTAAAACCGTCTATTAATTACAATATAAATCCTAAAACAAAATTAATTCGATACTTTATAGGCGTCAGTTGTCAAAGTAATGTATCTTAAATAGAAATACTATACGACTATTATTCTTGAATAGAAATGATAATTTTTGTTTTATTATGTGTTTGTTGTTAAAATATGTGTCGTAAGTGGTGTTTTAGTGTTGTTCACTGCGTAGTCGGTGGTGTGCGTGGGGACGTGGAGCACACCCTGTATCACGAGTTGTCGATTTAACTCACTGGTTTCTCACAAACATGACTATATAGAAACAATTCTACAATTGACATCTCTGTGTATTATGTTATACAATAAGCTCACGTATAAAACGTTTTTAACAAACAAAATCAAGTTTCAGGATTTTTTTACATATTTTAAATGTATTTATATAATTTATAAGCTTTGAAGTCCTCTAGAGGCCAAACAACGCAACTTTTTATAGAGATAAGTTGCGATACTTTGATGATATGTTCAACCGAGTAGTGGTTACTATTTCGTTGTATGTAACATGTTTTTTCGGTTGTTTTGTATTATAATACTCGTAGTCGCTCTCGTCGTCGAAGTCTCGCGGCAGCGGCAATTGTCAGAGGTTCTGAAAATTTTCTGACAAGAAAAGGATGGTCGGACTTGGAAAAAGAATGTACCTTTCTATCGCATACAGGACGTGTCAGTATTAATGCGTGAATTATATATAAAGCCTGCAAAGTAACAGCTTTTTCTCAATTTAATGTCATTCAATCTATTTCTATAGCGTACTCGTGGGGAATAAACAAAATAAAATGCATAAAATGTTTAGAAAAATATATATTTGTTGTGTTTTATTAACAAACGAAACTTAAAATAAACTTAGAAAACAAAATAAAGAATCGACTAGCTTCGAAAATATAGTGTGAGGATCACCAGCCGGCGGCGGCGGCGGGCACCAGCTTGTTGACGGTAACCACCTGGGGCACTGACACCACCTTGCGTACGTTCACCACTTGCGGCACACTGACCACTCTGTTTACGTTGACCACCTTGTTTACGGTGACGAGGCGGGCGGCGGGCGCGGCGCTGTAGCTGACCGCTGGCGCGGTGGCGTAGCTAACCGCGGGAGCGGCGGCATAGCTGACAGAAGGAGCGGCGGCATAGCTGACAGAAGGAGCGGCGGAATAGCTGACGGCAGGAGCGGCGGCATAGCTGACAGCGGGCGCTGAGTAGCTGATGGCAGGGGCGGAGTAGCTGATGGAAGGAGCGGAGTAGCTGACTGCGGGGGCGGAGTAGGCTGGGGCGGAGTGCAGGCCGCTGAGGAAGCCGCGCTTTTCGCGCACGTTACCGGCCGCCACGCTCGCCACCAGGCACAGGACTGCAATCTAAATAAATAAAAAAAAACAATATGTTAAATAATTTGAGATAGGAACAGGGCAACGACGATATACATATCGTAATTCATAAATATTTATTAGACTAATTTGTAAAGGAGAGAGGTATCCTTGTTGAGTATGAGAGAGGTAACAATCACTGTGTATTGAAAATGCACTCAACAATAGAATAAACGGTTTATCAATAACTTGAAATAAGTAAATAAGAGTTGTTGTTGAGAAGCTATCGAGTAGTAGAGAGCTCTCTGTTCAGTTCAGCTCAGTGCGAGTTCATTGTATTTGAACCATTTACAGTTCTCGATATTTTTAAATCTAATCCTTAAATATATGAGCATATAATTATTTTTTACATTGACTTGTCTAATCTTAATAATGTGGAAATATCTTTGCTGGGATACAACTGCTAACTCTGATTTATACTCACGAAGGATTTCATAATGTCGTTTTGTTGTTTGTTGCTTGTGGGTTGTTGCACTGGTCAGTGGGCTGCGAGTGATGTCTGTCCTCTCCTCGGTATCAGTATATATAGATATATATATGTCGGTAGGTCTGTATGTCGCAAGGTGTCCTCGCACCGACGTGTGTTCTTGAATTAGGTCCCATAGTTAATTTATTGCTAGTTATCATACAGTTTAAACCGCGGCAAAAAACCTTCGCCTTTACATTAACATAATCGCGACGATTTCCAACTCTTATATTAATAATCACAATTAGCATAACGTATGTATAACGTCAGCCTTACGAACTGATTGCGGCCACATCAGTAGGCTACCAAATTGACACCGAACTCAACAAAAATTAAATATTGTTCACTTAACATCATTCACAAATAACTAACTAAAGACAGTGTAGTGGTTTTACTTGATATAGGTATCACTTGTATCGTACTTACACCAGCGGCACCAGCGCCACCAGCGGCACTAGCAGCACCAGCGGACTACCGCTGTGCGATGAAGTGCGATGCTGTATCACTGCAACACTGTCATATATCTTCATTACATTATATACATCTACGAGCTAAATGTTATCACAATACGATGTTACAAATCTAAGTGTTGTTGTTCTTCCCTAGGACTTCTGACTTTATAAAGTACCTAAGTGAATAAGGCCCTTTTAGTATGTTCTCCAGAAAACGACGAAATACTGGAAATAGGCGGTCCTTCATGTAACGGCAATTATTATTTTTTAATTCCTATGCCCTTAGATACGAACTAGTTAAAGTTAAAAAAAATAAGATGACTACCCATCTATATAGTACCATTGTTAGGAAAGTGATATGTATTATATAATAACATAAACAAGAATAATTTATTAAATATTTCTAAATTGAAATGAGTAAAGTAAAGTTCAGTGAACAGGCATTCATTAAGGTAGTGCGTAACATATTTCGACCACATCATAGTTAACATCAGGCGGCATCGTGGTCAAGCGCTAGCTTATTCAATATAAAAAGACTATTTTCATGTAAGTCTATTCTGTAAAACACCTCATAAAGCATTCATTATATTACGTTCTCATATTCTTTCGTAAAAAGTAACTGAGACAAGCGTTTCTCGTTAATAATTGTGTAAAAAACGCACGTGTTCATGGCATGCGTAGTAGCGGAGCACATATAGGTCGGTTCCATGGTTGTGGTGTACAACATATGTAGGTCTCCTCACAATATTCATATGCTCGTAAAGCTAGTTGCTTTCCTTTAAATAAGCAAAAATTTGTGATTTAAAAAAAAAACATTTTTTTTAAGTAAACATTTGAAGTAGCGGTGATGTACTCGTATGCTTAATACACCAGGTGCTTCCCCCGACATCTTCCCCGTAGAGTTTATAAGTCTAAAATAAATTTCTACTTTGTTTAAAGCTTAAAAGGATGAATTTGAAAAACGTCAGAAATACAGCTAATTGTTCTCAAAAGTGTTAATGTCAATTCTCAAGTAATTCTGCTTAAGGAATATCTCTATATAATACCAACATTCATCCCCTATATAGAGTGGGAACTCTACACTTTTACGTCCTGAATTTCGTAAAATCCTTACTTAGTGCTCGTCTACGTAATAACAGAAATATATTTTCGATATTCCAAATCTCGAGAATTGTTTTGGGTGATGTGATAATCAATCGATTTACTATTTTATATATGGTTAGACAGCTGTATATTAAAGGTGTTGCGTGTCTATTGGCTCAAGGTGCATTGGAAGATACGCGCGCGCGGCTGTAGTCACCGCCGCTGCCGCCTTGTTAGAGACGATAATGTATGTCGTTCATATTATGACTAAAAAGTTATTAAACCTTTAGTTCAGCAAGGTCAGACAATACTATGTAATTAATTGACACGTGTAAAACGTCGCGCATCTGCGGCGTGGTTGGATTTAGACAGACTCTTGCTGGAAAGAAAACTTATCTTTCTAGGTACATTGATGTGAAATTTGAAATGTGACTAAGTTTGGAAATTTTAAATTGCTGCCATCTAGCGGGGCTTACTAGCACTACATGTGAAATGGAGAATAAATAACTAAATATTCGCTATATTGTATGTGGGAGTCACAGTTGGAGAATGCTTTTTAAATAAAACATAGTCTTCTTTGGGATCGTAAACAACAACTTTTTCACAAACTTCGCTCTTACACTTTCCTCACTATTACTCGAATGTCAAAAAACATGGCCGTCATTTAGACGAGCAATTATAATACTTTTAATTTACAATAACGAAATATTGTCAGATTATTAACATGATAAATTGAATACTTCTATTTTATATTTGAGAATTTAAGAAATTATTTAAATAATCTGTTGGATCGTAATACTAATGATTAATGTTGTTATTTTAAAATAAACAAAAGTGTTATTGACTTATTGCATAGACTAAATAAAGTGTTAGGTTATGGAATTACAGAATATATAAAATTGCTAATGTGTGCCTTCGTAACTTGTACTTTACTGTTGTCCGTAGTCGTAGGCTGTTGACGTATGGCGAGTGTCAACGACACTTTAGATTAGCCGACTAAACTTTGGTTTAAGCTCAAGTTAACAAGCTAATGTTCCTTTCTTAGCATATACTCTTTGCAACCGGCTGTACTTAAATGAGACCGCAGCTCTAAACACCTATAAAATATTAACTATTCCATTACGAAAACTTTTATTAAAGGAAACAATAACTGAATTACAAATAATGATATAATAACATTTAATAAGATAACGTGTATGAGGGAGCGAGTGAGAGGGCGGGGTGAGTGTCGCTCAACATTGTGTGCGTTCAACAACAACTGTGAAACGATCCCTTCAGATACATTTCTGATTCAAAGAATGACCTCAATTTACTCATGCAAATATTTGCAATAATAAATTTGACTTGCATGAATTTACGAGCGTGTGAATAATTTGTCAGATGTTTACATAATAAAGCAACTTGTGCTGAAGAACTTCTCACGGACGAAATAATTATAAATTCAATGAACAAATTATTTCAGTAAACATTAAGTTTATTAGTTAATCTCTTTTATTATTACGTAATGATTAACATTTTACATATTTTATTGTATAACTAGCTATCAGCGCGGTATAAATATAAAAATAACAAATAGCCTATGTGTACTTCCAGACTATGATCTTCATCTGTGCCAAATTTGTTGATAACTTCCAACAGATCCATCTAAACTTTCGCATTTATAATATTGGTAAGATATCCACCAGTTTGCCTAATGTTAGGCCCTTTAACGAAGTAAGATTTCAGCTGTTTGCATACTTAATAAAACCAATTTGTTCGTTTGTAAAATTTGCAACAAATCATAGCGCTTTGTAAGCGCGATCAGTAAAGGTAAAGGTCAACGATAAATAAATAATTAAAATTGTTAAAATAAATTTATATTTGAAAAAAAAAATTAATTTGATTATCACAGAAACATACAAGATACTCGAGACAAATTGTTTAGTTATAAAATTATCAGGAGAACTTATTGCAAGAGTAGTGGCAGCTGACTAGTGGTCTTATTGTCTGCCATCGAACTGTCAGGTATCGAGATGACAAGACCCGCATCGACTACCACCAGCCGCTCCTATAGCCGGAGGACCAGCCGCCGTAGCCGCGGCCGCCGTAGCCGTGGCCGCCGTAGCCGAGACCGCCGTAGTATGAGGGCGAGTAGACCACTGCCGGGCGCGAGTAGACCACCGCCGGGCGCGAGTAGACCAACGGCGAGGACCAGCCGGAGCCGATGAAGCCTGCCGCGGCCGCGCTCACCAGCGCCAGGACAGCCAGGATGCCCGCCTGCACACACAAACACGGATGGAATTCAACTAACAAAGGTATAAAAAGAGTCATATGCTATTCTCTCTTCTCTCTCTCCTTATCTGAATCCGCTCCAGAGATTACAACTACAGTTTATCAATTAAATTGCAGATAAGTGGTGAAACTGGGCCTGAAATGTTTCAGTACAACCTGAAGTAATGAAGGTAAATTACTTAGTAATTTTTGCAAATAAAACATAACAGAGTAAAACTTACGAAGAATTTCATATTGAGTTGATGTTGACTTCTTTAAGAGCGAAGTACCAGTACGAAGTTTAGAACGAGCTTTGCTCCTTATATACGGTCAGAGGAGCTACGTGACGTACATCAACTGCCAGCCCGTCAGACCGCCAGCCCGCACTACCTCCCAGAGCTGCCTCGTGACGTCACTCGGACGACCAACTCGATGTTGTAGATAGATCAAATTCTGTTGCTGCATTCCTTAGAGCCTTTGAGCGAACATTTCGAGGGAAGTGTTCAATGTATCGTGAACATGATCGAACGATATTCGAACATTGCGTAGTCGTTTCAAATGCCAATCACATGGGTCACCGACTTAATTGCAACTAAATCTTATAAATATTTTTGTTTTTGACAATAGACTCCTTATTAGGTATTTCACCTTCGTTTTATATATTGTTTTGTATACGAAATAAGATCGCTGCAAAATATTTCAATATGATGACTTTACTTAGAGTATCTACTTTTTTAAATATATTAAAATTAACTCAGTTACTCCTAACCATGTCTTTGCGATCATAATTTTAAACTTTGCAAAATATTGAATTCTTAAAACAAAGCTTTTAAACAGTTTTACAAACCGCATGGTGTGTCCCGTCTCAGCTTTCCGCGCACGTGCTTTCTGCCCCTCCAACACAGACGGGTACACCCCGAGGAGCGCAGTGCTGCTGCGGCGATGCACTGAGCCTGGCTGGTGACGGACGCGACGTCGTGTCGTCGTTGCGTACTCGCAATACTCGAAAGGCAAGTTATGTGAGTTTAAAATTCGAGCGGCAAAATTCTTTGACACCTACAACTACACAAGAGGCGAAAGCCGTAAATCAGTCTGTGTGTTAGGATCTCCTCATCCATATCGTTAGCAATGCATTGCGAATTATAATAATGGTAAATAAATAAATGCATGATAAAGATTCAATACTAAATGATTACAGCATCAATGTCGCTATATCTCCTTCTATAGGTTAACCTGTATTTAAGGAGCCAATGTGTTTCCTTTTTAGTAAATCTTAAAAAATAAGTAAGCAGTATAACATAGGTAAGAGTAGTCTCCTTGTCATAAGTAAGTGTTACTCTACAGGACTATGTTAAGGAGTTCCTTGTTTTGGTGACTTCATCCAGTTCTTTGTTAATTTAGCTTACGAGTTTCTGATTGTCGCAGCATAATTACTATGTCAGTAAGATGTACTGATGTACTCATTAATCATCGTTTATAATGTACTGTATGTGAACATTGCGCCGACTCTGACTATAATTTGATTATTAAGATGTAGATATACCGCGCTGAAGTCGGATCACTTCGTAAACTTTAATGAATCTTGTATGTTACATGTTGCATCTATACATTATTATTATAAATTCCCGAACAAACATCACTAATACGTTATAGTATTCTGTTGGCTGATAAACTAGTATATATTAATTTAAAATACGTTAACAAATCATTGTAATCGTTTAATTTTCCATTGATTAAATAAATAAATATGATAATCGTAAACAATTCCACTCGGTTAATATTTTGACAGTGATACATTAAATAGTTTAGCAACAAATCTGCCAGTTCCATTGATGGCAAGTGTCGTGTCGGCAGCATGTTTTATCATAATGAAATCGTAGTCCACGGCCGTGGGACCGACGTTTTTGCAATGACCGGTTTGTATATGCAAAAATAAAATTTACTAATGTCATTGAGATGACTGAAGATATTAAGGATTAAGTTGTTTTACTCCCACTTTACCATATTATGATTTAAAATATGCGATTCCAGCAAACTACTCTTAATATAAACAAATTGCTTTTGCCCGCGACTTCTAGGAGTCGAATCATTGCGGAGTTATTGAGTAAAGATGTTAATCCAACGAAGCCTCCGGTAACCGTATATAATACATTTCCGGGATTATTGTCTATATAGCCTATGTGTTCTATTGATGCCTAATAACAAACATTCATCCATCAATCTAAACTTTCGCATTAATATTGTATTTAAAAGTAAAGATAAAAGTAAGTATTATATAAGTTACCGGAAAACTTAATAGTTAAGTAATCTGAACCAGAATACTTTGTATGCATGTATTTTCAATGGCACAAAGATGACTAACAAACAAACAACATCAGTTTATTTAACATATCGAGTTACAATCAGATTGTTATAAATATTACGAAATAGTTCTTTTGCATTGTCCTTAATTATGTATTCATTATGTACATAAATATATATTTTGTGGTCTGTCTGTGGAGTCATTTGCCAAATGATCGACTTGTTATAGAAATATATTGAAATGTTAGTTATTTTCGTCTGTTTTCATCCATATTACGCAAACGGAGTGGCAGAGTCCACGGTCCTTCATTTGGCGCGTGTGACACACCCCTCTCGCTTCTACATTAATACATGTACGCATATTCGACACAATTTATTAACTTCCGAGTACATTACTTATACAATTACATATATAATATCTAAAAGCTATTAATATTTCATGTTTATCAACGCGTAAATATATATAAGATATTGGTTATGTATCATTTTGTCGCGTGTGTACGTGAGACCTCAATTAATGGAGATTCGGAAGGACATCGGATACGATTAAATTTAAACAACTAATTACATATTATAATGATCTGGTATTTTTATTTAAATTTCCATTTATAATATCAACAACAACAACAACAAATCGACGATTGTTCCAGAAAATTTACAAGAAGATTCAACTTCATTTCAACTTCCTGGATAGCGAAGAACAAGGAAGTAAATTGAAATAACAATAGTAACAAGAAGCATTCTAGGTGCATATTATGTGGATTTTATTATATAAAAACATTCATAATCATAGTTATAAAATGTTTTCGATACCTCAACATAATACATATATTACTAGCTGTCGCCCGCGACTCCGTCCGCGCGGGATAAAAATAGATGTTGGCCGATTCTCAGACCTACTCAATATGCTCACAAAATGAGCTCATGAGAATCATTCAAGCCGTTTCGTAGGAGTATGGGAACGAAAATTGTGACACGAGAATTTTATAAATAAGATTTAATGATTTTTTGTAAAGCGTCGCCATTTCATTAAAATTATAAGTGACATGTAGATATTTTTATGAGCTGACAACATGACCTTGAGCTTGGGCCTTGGGTAACTTGATAAACAAATAGGATACAGTCAAATCTAAGTTCGGATAAAACACCTTTCTAAAGGTGATTTTGTTAATCGGTTAAATGCCTTTTAAATATATGTGAATTAAAGAAACGAGTCCATTATCGTATTATAAGATTCAAACTTTATGGTGGATCGTGGCATCCTAAAGCGCATGTATGCTCACTCAATGATTGACAGGCGTCTCAACTGCAACTTTCCAACCCTTTGGTATCCAAATGTGTGTGACGCAGCGTCACGAGTGTAATTGCAAGCTGCTGTAAAGTTTGTATTGCGCTATACAAAAATAAAGACCTATACATGTACATTCATACAATGTTGGCTTGCTTGCTTTTAACCGTAGATTTCAACTACAAGGTCAGGATAACGAACGGCTAATTAGATAATGTTGACCCAAGCCATCCTTTAGTTACACATGCAACTCCTTACGCTAGTCATACTAAGCGCCGTGTGACCGGATTTTCGGAATTAAGTTCGAATCACTGCTCACTGATTGCACTATCGCAGATAGCAAGATGCGTCGTTGACAGAGGACATCATCAGAACTCTACTACCGTAAGACAGAGACAAGTGTCGCAGCAGTGGAGGAATAGAGCTTGAACGTTTGCTGTTGAGGTGATGCGGTGTTAAGTTAAAGTAATGTAAACGCGCTGCGCAGTCTGTTGTCGTCGTTACGTAACCGACATATTCTCGTACGGCGGATAGTCGCGCCACATTCCGCCGAGGTGAACCTCCTCCGCTAAACACCATTAACCAAAACTATAACATTTAAGTATTAAGGTTCGACTTACTTGCCTCGACACTTTTATCATACGATACTTAGGTCCTGCTGTTTCGGGGATTAAACGGAACAACCGAGGACTTGCGAACAGACAAAAAAAAATAGTTTTTCATTATGAGCAACGCAAATATTGTCATGTTCGCAATTTAAATGTTATATTTCATGCAGACACTCCAATTTCTTACATCTATAGATATAAGATCGATTTAAATGATGACAAACAGTATAAACCGTCTCTCGAAATCGCCTCTGTATATCTTTGGACTATAACAGTGATAATATGTTGTTGAAATGGTAAGGAAGAAAATATATAGCGTGATGTATGTGTATAGTTACATTGGTTTCATCTAATTTTAATAAAGTTTATTTTATAGTTTTAAGTTTATGCAATTAATACTGAAAAGTATTATAATTTTATAAGTTCTTTGATACAAGAATATGAATCCATTGGTGGGTGGGCGTGTGGCGACTCCTGCCTCGGATGTATGGCTGACCGAAAATAATTAAAAGAATATTTTTGTTTTGTAAAAAAATATGTATTTAAAAATTTGTTACTATTTTAAAACATATAAATAATTAACAAAAGTTTGGCAGCTACTTAATGTTCGGAGCTCTGCTTGCCGTGGCCGTGCCCGTTAGAGCTGGAGTGGCCGCCGGACTTGACGATGGTGAGGGCGGGAGCGGCGTGCGCCAGAAGCGGGTTGTGCACGCCCAGGTAGGGGGAGGCCAGTAGCGGGCTGTGTCCGCCGAGGTATGGGGAGAGCAGGCCGGGGGGATAGCCGTACCCGTAGCCGAGCGGGGAGTAGAGCGAGGATCCGTAGCCGTGGCCGTAGAGGGAGGAGTAGAGCGAGGAGGCCAGCAGTGGGTTGTGCAGGGAGTGCGCGAGGTGCGGGTTGATGAGTGGTGAGTGCAATCCGTGCGCACCCAGCAGGCCCGCCTCGTAGCCCAGCAGCGGTGCATGCAGGCCGGGCGCCAGCAGCGCCTCGCCCGCCAGCCCGCGCTTGTCGCGTGGCTCTCCGGCAGCTGCGCCCGCTTCTCCTGTCACCGCGGGCGGAACCGCCGCCGCCGCCGCCACCGTCACAAAGGCGAGTACCTGCAATGCGACCATTTATTATCAATTGCATTTCCGATCGCCTTTGACACTCGCTAAATAAATAACAAAACGATCTGAGAGAAGAGAGAGAGAGAGAGAGCTAATAATGGAGAATATAGTATAAAGCGAGGAGAAAGCGCCGGACTACAAGCTTTGCATGGCATTCGAAGTCACAGCAATATGGCGTCGCGTTATTATCTGTGTATGTGTGGGTTTCGACTTTTGAAGCACTTGTATGATATTATAATATATTGTCGTCGGTCACATTATGTTAACAAAAGACGGAGACAACAATATGCCGATAACAAATTTTAGTAAATTGCGTAACTTCGAAGAATTCAAAGGAATATGTGTGCAGTAAAAATGTTGATGTAGTTTAGGTGTACATACATTAGGTAGCGGCCATTAATAAAATCAATTCATTTGATTCGTCACAGTGGCAACGGATGTCGCAACTGATCACGCAACACATTAACCGCTCCCATTAATAAAAGACAAAAATGTAACTAACGGAGACGAGGCCCCGCGAGGCCACACGGCCGCCATAAATCACGTCGGGATATGCAAATATGACATATTGATAGGTTTCGTTTGCATCAACTCTCGAATTATAATGAGGCCTTGAGTGCAAAACTAAACTCTGATTCATTTGTTTCACATATAATTTGGTAAACGCTACAAATTATTTTGTAAAGTTAAAAAAGTTAGCGAACAGGAATTGAAAATGCTTTGAATTAACTTGTTTGATACAGTATTCGTTAACAGTTGTTAATTTTTTTTTGTTTCTAAATGTAGAAAGTGACAAACATTAAACAAATCCTAAGATAAAGTACTAAGTTGCAGCCAATGAAAGTGTTATAAGTTTTCATATAGACTAGACAGATGTGCCAAAGCTTGGAACATGTCGCTGGCACACTATATTGACTATGTACATGTTGATTACAACTTATTTACGAACAGAAGGGAAGCAGATGAGAGAGCAACAAAAGAAACAACTCACGTAGAAAGCGTTCATGTTGCTGATGCGACGACTGCTGACGATGACACACAAACTTGTGATGTCAAAATTTTCGTTTTGGAGACATTTATACCAATTTAAATGTGATTAATTCAAAAAGGCGGTAGGGTTGAGCAACCGCCGTCGCCCTTCCCGACCCGCGACACCCCCCCCGCCCGGGCAGGCCCACTCTCCGAACGCTATCTAATTTAAAATTCCATCTCAAAATTATAATGAACTCAAAATCGTAGACAATTTTCGAAATCCTGAGGCCGATCGGTCGATGCCAAGGTAGTCGAAAATAAAAAAAAAGAACGTAAAATTTAAAACCTAGCGTTAAATTCTCATCTTATTGAATATTTATGTTACGACCTACATAAGACAAAATTGTTTGTAAAACCTGAACCAGTTTGAAGAACTAAGTATGTAATGATTGTAAACATCGAGTGCAGTAACATGATCCTCTCGTCCAGACAATTGCCTTCATAAAATTAACATATTCACATAGCACTGTGAATACTTTAAACTCAGAGAAGCAGTACATTACACTTGCGAATGAATAACTTACGCTTCGAGAGCAATAGCAATAGACCCGACCCGATATATGTATTATATGTTTGTGCATCGTCATACTTACAGGTTCAGTTGCCTTAAAAGTCGGGTTTCCAATTTCGATAAGTCATACAGTTCTATTTCAGTTACTAAAATAATATTATAGTTGCATACACACACACACACACCCACACACACTCACACACACCACACACCATTCACTCTCGTGACAAAAAGGGCGAAGCGGAGATTACTAATTTCTATAATATTTGTTATGTCTTCATAAATTAATTTTACATTAAGTTCGCTGATCTATGATTTGCTGAGGTGCGTAGATAACTTAAAGATTTAGTTAGGAATTACTTAACACTGAATATAAATGTAATCAAAATTATTTCAGTTGTTGTATGCGTCAAGAGGATTTTACTTTTACTTGTGTACTGACTGACAATTACCTCAATGAAACGCTTCCTGAATTGTGAAATGCGATGTATGAAACAGAGATCAGTTTGTCTTCATGCAACTGAGGTATTAAGTAAGTATATTATAAGCCTAAATAATCCAACTGACGGTCGGTATTACACTGAAAAGTGAATGTTTAAACTGCCCAAATCAAAATAAACAAGATGTAATTTTCCCACGTTATAAAATGTTTGTGTGTGATGAATTAGCTTCCTATGACCTAATAATAAAATATCGTAAGTAAATTAAATGAGACAAGCGACCTTCAGCTTGTAATAATATATATGACTACGAGCGGTACTCGTACATGTCGGAGCGCTCTGCTCTGTGCTCAACCTTCCTCACCGCGCCGCATCGCACCAATTCATTACCATAACATTATTACAGTATTTGTTTTATTTTTAAACTGTTTGTTTTTTCTATTTGCAAAAACAAAACTGGTAATGTATGTTCTAGATGATCTTGATATTATAAAATCATCGTCGCGTGAATGCAAAGTCTTTCTCCCAATCAAGTGCTCGGATTCATCATAACATTCATCGGCAAAGTATTATTTTACATTTAGTACATGAGTAGTTCATAATTAATAACTACGAAGACGAACTTTGAATGTTTTCATACGTATTCTTCTTGTAACAGGCATGCTTAATGTTCAACTTATCTGTATTATATTGCAAATGTATCCGCATTGTACCAGTGACAGGCACATGTCAGTTACTGTTCCATCTTACAGGCATGGATTCGCGCCTTTACACCATGTTGTAGATAAACGCAGGCGTATTACGGTTTAAACGGTTTTTATGAGGGATCATGACTTCGTCAATGGAAATGGAAATTTACTAAGTATTTCTGAAAATATTTACATAACATCTTTCGAAATTAAAAACGATAACTCCACACTTCAGACCTTTAGGGGGGGGATGTTATTTTTTGGTAATGATTTTTATAGTTAGTTGTTTACGTAACAGGAGTAAAGACTACATTGAACTTTTGTATTAGTTTAAAGTAATAAATGAACCGATGACGTGACGCGCCAAAAAGATTCAAGAAGCGAAATTTTAGATCTGTCGCTGTTACGCAATAAAATAACATCTTTAAAACCAGTATCTCAAATTTTTTATATATTCATATAACGAGGTAATAATTTGCAAATTTTTTCAAAAGAGACATTACATTTAAAACAGATCCAGTTCTCTTTTTTTGTTATATAAGTTGAATATGTGAGCCACTTTTATTACCAAAATCACGATTATTATAATTAATGGGAGAAAAAATGACAACTTTTCCGTTGCTTTCTGTTCCAGTTGCGTCTTAAAAATTCTCTAAATAAAACTAAGTGTCACTATTGACAAGCTATTGGAAGCAACAATCTGTGCGGACAGCGGCAGTCGTTGGTGCGGCATCGGTGCTCGGCGGACAGAGGCTCGCAATACGCTACGATTGCGAGCATGTCCTACAAAGTCATTGACATAAAACATTAAATGAAATAAATGAGATAATTAACACTTTAACACATTTTATTTTTAGAGCTTATAAATATCAGTTTCAATTACTTTCACTAAACAAAATCAGGACATGGTGATAGAACAGCTTCATACAATTTTTAAGAAGTTGTTGTCTAATCGTATTTATTACGATATCACGATATGCATTCAACAATTTAAAATATGACAGTGTTACAAAATGAAACCTTACAATGAAGCAGATGTTTATTTTATCTATGACACGTAGAGTTGTTTGGCGGTAGGCAGCGAGCCCCAGGTGTTGGCGGTGTTCCAGGTGTGCGCGTGCGGTGACTCCAGCGTGTGGTACTCTCGCGCGAGAGGAGCCCCATGCAAGGTGTAGGTGTAGGCCGAAGGATGCACGTTGTATGCCGAGGAGGAGGAAAGGTTCGAGTTGCCAGACCAGTGGGAGCCGTGCGACGCCGCGGGCACGGAGTAGGAGTAGGACTTCGCCGCGGGCAGGCTTACAGACTGCGCCGTGGGGTACACAGCCCAGCTCGCAGGCGTCGAGTAGGCGATGGGCACCGAGGAAATGGACGAGTACGAATTGTAAGCGGGCTTAGTGTACACCGTCGTGCCTATGACGTTAGTGATGGGGGAGGATTGGGAGAACTGTTGGGTTGAATACTGGGAGTCCAGATTTTTGAGAGCCGTGTTGTATTGGCCGAAGAGGGGATGCAGGGTCACCTTGTCCACATACGCGGTCAGCGTTGGTTTGACCGGGGTGAACGTTGTCGACTTCTGAATCGTCACGGGCGCATGTCCATTGGAAGAGAAGCTGCGGGATGTTCCCTGCGAGGTCCATAGACCGGGGGATGAAAATTGTGTCACCACCGGGCGGGACGAATCTCTAAAAATCTGAGGCGAGGCGCTCGAGTAAACGTTGTAATCCGAGAACGTACTTTTGAAGCCGTTCGCCGCGGGGTATGTGGTAGTCACAGTAGCGGGCGTTGAATACGCCTTGAAGAAGGGCGAGGAAGTGGACGACACAGAGGTAGTGTAGGCGGGGTAGGAGGAAGGAGCTGTAGGCGTAACGTAGGTGGGGAAACTCGACGAGAAGGTGGAAACGGTGGGCGTGGAGTAGGAGACGGGGTAGCTGGTCACCGGAGTCGCTGCTGTCGAAACCGCGCCAGAACTGAATGAAGACGATCTTGGAGTCGAGTAAACTGTAGAGTATGTAGGTGAGACTGTGGTAGAGTACGAGGGCGTCGTCACGTACGAGGTGTACGTCTTCGACAACGTAGGCTGCGCCGCCAGCCGCTGGTAGCTGCGAGAGTACGACGGAAAAGAGGCGATAGACTTTGCCGAGCCAAAGTTCCTCGCGGATCCCGCGAACGCGGTAGGGTAGGAGTTAGAGAGGCTGGCACCGGCTGCGGTGGCGCTGTGCGCGAGATGGCCGGCAGCCGCGGCGGGCGACGATACCGACGTGTACTGGCTCACAGTCTTGGGCTAAAAATATACCAATACACTTTTATAACGGGTCACAAACAACATTTAAATATTTATGAGTACGATTTTTTTTTAGTATTTTCGTAACAGTAATTAAATAGTTACTGGCGCTGTAGACTCCTGTATGTAGACGGTCTGTTGGGTGGGCAGCTGTTGCGCGGATGACAGCTGCTGCCCGGGGGGTAGGTTGCAGAGGCCACCCGAGGCCAGCGCCGCGAGGATCACCTGCGACACAAGCTATTTCAAACAGGACTATGGTACCTTGGTATACACCTCATTCGATGGACTTAAGAAAAGCTAAGAGAAAAACAAAAAGAAAATGTCGGGGCGATATTTCCTAAGCTGACAAACCCGAATTATTTTTACGGTTGTAAGTAATTCTGCTATTTGTTACAATTCAGCTTAATACTATTAATTATAAGATATTTTGTAAGACTAGTTTCAGTACTCACCAGAACGTTCATTTTCCTCGCAACAAAACCAACATCTACCAAAAACATTTCAAATGATTTAGTTGTTAAAAAACAAGTCTCCTTATATATAGACATAAACATGTTGTCTGGTAATAATAGACAGTGTCTTGTATTATTAGAAAACAGGATCCCAACAACGTCGAGCGCGCACCTCAGTTCTAATATTTGTACAGTCGAGTTCGTTCGCAGTGATACACTTACCTAAAAGCTCTGTACCTCGCAACTTGATTAAAATAAAGAGCTAGCAGGCTATCGATGTTTTGGTCAGAGAAAAAAGTATTTAGTTATCTGCACTTTAATCCGCATTGATAGCGTATTGTGTTAGAGATGCTGTAGTTATAATATTTAATATACCAAAACGATAAACAAGTCTTTGAAATGATCTTTGTTTTTATAATGGAACAACGACAGCGAACGCGATTGTACCAAGCATGAAAAGTGCAAAGATGAAGGTATTTACTATTTATTATAATTATTTAAATTTGAGAACGTGAAGATTTTATCATTAACACAGTTTTAATTTAAATTTACTAATCGTATTTATGTATTTTTTGCTACAAAGTAATCTAAACTATTCTTGTAGGAATATTTTAAAAATCCCTTGTATTTATAGTTAAATATTTATAATAGTACAATAAAAGTACATAGTTTTTTTTACAAAAGATATCCGTGTTCCCTCAGGCTCTGTTCCAACTGTTTTAAGTATTTACATTCCTTTTGTTAAGAAGTGTAAAGCTGTTGATGTTACAGCTCAAATGAAAGAGGAGTTATTAGTAAAACAACTCCAGTCCCCACTTTCATTTTACCATTATGTTAATCCAACGTCAATAAAGTGTATGCAGATTGATTAGGTACATTTTTACAAAATAGTAGAATAGTTGAAAGCACAATATGTTCAAAAGTAAGGACAAGTATATATTTCAAGATCAAATCAACATTTTTTCTTATCTTTGTCGATCTACCAAAACATAATACTGTAAACTGCAATACTACATTAATTTAGTCTCCATTTAAAATGATGCGATAAAAGCAATTTAATGTATATTTATGTAAAACCTAACTGTTGCTCGCGGCTTCGTACGTGGAATAAATAAACAATAATACTACAATTTTACTCCGGCGTACATCAGCTACCTTCCGTATAAACGAGGAATTTCCGACGGACAGACAGAAACAACAATTTTGAAAATTGGTCTTTCGTTATAAAAAACGTAAATGATTTTATTTTAATATTGTTTACAAAAACTGCAATTTTATAAAATAACTGTAAAGATATAAATATGTATTCTAGTAGACATGTAGTCGAGTCGGCCTTGATGTTATCTGCACATGCAGATGCTGAGTCATGAAGCAACTGTCAAATGAAGGATCAATGAGGAAGGATGAGGACGCTCGTTTGACAAATAATTCTACATGAAACGAGTTGCAGTAGCACCTGCTTACGCTCGATTAGATTATTATCTTTTTACATAAATATATATCAGTCTGCAAACTAAATAGGAAATATTGTAAACAATTTAAGTATAGTTGTAGGTAACAAGACTTGTTTTTCCTAATTCTTATATTGAAAGCGGACCAAGAGAATGAAATCAGTCGTTAAGTTATTCACTACGTGAGTAAATTGATGATATTGCTCATGACTCGATGCGATATTTAAATTATATTATAAATATTCGAATCGACCACTTGATTATTATCATGAGCAAAATCTTCAGATTAGTAATTAATAATACAAAGTTTAAGAATGCGAACAAAATTTTGTAAAATAATTTTATTTCTTAAATCTTATATAAAAGGGTCGTCAACACCACGGGTTGTTGGCGGTCCATGTTCCCTGCTGCCAGGAGGGTTGCGCGTACTGTGCGGTGTTCTGCACGTATTGCACGGAGGGCTGAATGTATTGCGCGGAGGAGGGCTGAACGTACTGGGATGTTGACTGCACATATTGCACGGAGGGCTGCGCGTACTGCGCTGAGGGCTGAGCGTAGGAGACAGCGGCGGGCACGGCGGCCTGCAGACGATAGTGTGAGGAGGAGGAGGCGTGCTCCGTGTGCTCCGCGTTGTAGAGGGCACGCGCGGACACCTGCGCGTATGCCGGCGCCGCCTGCACTCCGTACTGCACGCGCGGCGCAGATGTGTACTGCGTGTACGTCTGCGAGGAGGGGTAGTATGTAGAGGAGGAGGGCAGCCGGTATACGGAACCCTGAGACACTGTTCTAGAGTTGTAATATTTGGGGGAGATCTGCTCGGAGTACAGCTGTGGCGACACCTCGTACCCCGTCTGCGACTGCAAGCGTCAAATAAAAAAAAACATTAAATCCATATTTTTCTATACCAAATTAAATAAAATTAAAAGTTACATAATAATAATAATAGCGCTGGCATAGAATACGCTGCTGACGCATAATCTCTCAATATACATCAGTAGCGCCTTGTATTGTGAAGCTGCAAAAACTTGAAAGTATATTATTGCATTATTAAATTAGTATCGCTTACCATTTATTATATTGCAAACTTGATATTTTGCTATTATTTTACACAAAAATAAGAAGTACAGTTACCGTGTAGTACTGATTTCCGTTGCCGTAGAGCTGCGGGGTCGCATAGTGCTGGAAGCTGCGGCGGGCGCGCGTCTGCTCCGTCGGAGCCGGGCCGCTGCTCGCAGCCACAAGCTGCGCCGCGACCAGCACGGTCAGGACCTGCACCACACAATACACGCACACAACATGACGCTTCGTAATATTACACACTTAGTTATTAACTGGGGGGAAGGAGCACGACTCTTCCATTACACATTCAAAACAACTAATATAAAGGGGGTCACTGTCCTCTACCGATAATCGTTACAGCATTGAAATCACTGTAGTAATAACTTCAAACAAACAGCTCCTTTGTTCCTTAGTATTTAGCGCATTTTTAAAGCAAAAACAATGTAACTCAACATATTCCATTGATAATGGATTGTAACTAACTAGAAGTCGGTAGAAATAAATAGCAACTCACCAGAAAGTTCATTTTGCTAGTATGTGACGTCGCAGCGAAGCGGGAACTGACACAATGTGAGCACAAGTGAATACTCATCATCTCTTAAATACCGAATCCGCCACCGAATAATAATAATGAGTAAATAAAACTCGCGCCCAAAAACTGGACCCTATGTATTTAAATCAATATTAAGATTTATAATCATAGGCATATTTTTAGGGTCCGGCGGAACAGGGACGGAATCCCTTTGATTTGCAATTTATTACAAAATCGATCTTCTATACCGGCAATTATTTGTGCCGGAATAGATAGATAGAATTACAAACGACAAACAATTCTCTTAAAATTTTATAAATCTGCAGAAATGTTTTTAAGTAAAGGTTAAAATTCTCTGGTTGGTGAGTCATAATCGACGTATATATGTTATTTCGTTGTCCTTTTAACCAGAAAATATTAATTATAAAAAGTTTTAATGGATGATTTTCTGTGAACGTAATTTGTTGTTTGTTAACTGACATTGACTCGTTATGTTTATTTTATTCAATGGCTAATGAAATTGTTTAAACGGTTAATGTGGGAACTTACCCAGAGGTTGCGGCGGTGTGACGTGTGTCGTTGTTACATATATAACAGTTTGAGTCATGTATTGTCATTTTGCATACACATTTCACAAGCGTGTAATATTTCTAATGCTATAATGTGAATGTATATGTATTATATATGTATATGTTTATGATGTACTAAGTAACGCGTACGGAACTCGATGCGATATTTCATCGACTATCGAGTGCGTCCTTGAGCCGCGGCCGCGCTAAGTCCGGTTGCAAACGACAACATTAAACTGTCATACCTCGACATCACAAAATTTTTCAAATTCCATTTTATTCTCTCACTTGCTGAACTTACGGCACAATCAAAGTCGGTAAAAAATTTATGTTCATTCTCTTATCAAAGTTATTTGCCTATCAAAAAGTAATAATAGTAATGTAAAATGCAAAATAAAAATTGTCTTAGTTAATTTAAACTATTCAGTCAGATATTATTGATTTATGGGAGAATAATTATATGAAGCTAGGTAAATATGTTTACATATTTATGTAAAATGTTTATATAAGTACTGGATTCAAGGAGTATGTTATCAGATGGCAAAAGAAATGGCAGTAGTAAAATTGGTATATTATAACTTTACGACTGCTAAGTGAGTGTTTGACAGCTAACTTAGTTGGTTTGGTAACTTTATGGACAAGTTGCGGCGTCAGAGATGTTCTGCGGCGGCGCGCTTGTCTCTGAACCGGTCAGTAAATCAATAGTATGTTTAGCCGTTAATATATCAGAATAATAATGAAGTTTGACTGTATGTAAAGTGGAGTTCAACCTATATGTGAAGTAGATTAACCTTATATATATATATATATATACAATTACGAAGATTACACTGATTAATGTAAGCGGACAAAGGAGTATTGTCGTCACATCATATTATATGTTCCCACAGGGGGGGGGGGGGGGGGGGCTTAGAGCCTACCCTATATTAGAGGTGTCTAGGTTATAGTCATATAGCACAATGGCCCAATGCGGGTTGATTAACTCAACACTATCTTTAAATTTCTTTGCCGATATGTGAAGGTTGCATTACGATGTTTTCCTTCACCATAGTTACCGTCGGATAAAGGACATATGAAATTCTGTGCCTACTTTAAAAAAGTTATTAATTAATAATTCGTACCATACTCGTACTAGGCAACGAGGTAAACAGCTTGCCCTCTGCATGCGTTGAAAACGTTATTTTATAATACAACGTATTGATTTCGTTTTTGTATTTCTGCTTATGCAAGTAACAATAAAACATGTTCTATTTTGTTCATTAATTCATGTTTTTGTGTAAAACAATAATTTGTTACGTTTAAATTATCTGTTAGTGCGTAGTGCACGTGTAACAAGTTGTTTGTTAAGGAGCGCAAAAAGTGCGCGTCTGTGGCAACCGCCGCCGACCCGCACCGCGCCGCGAGGTGCCTTGTGCCACCTTCACACGCACACAGTTACTGGACTGACGCACTGCTATTTAATTAATATGGAGATTACTTAAAATTATATATGTGTGGCGCGTATTTTAAATATTTCTTAATTTTTATTCGGTATACAATAATCCCAACAAGTCTGTTTGGCGTTATCGGACGTAGGTTTCCTGTTTTTGTACATTAGTAAAACATTACATTGTATTTTTTTTTCAAAGATTATTATCATAAATATTGCAACACATCATCACCAAGGATTTTGCATCGCGGTAAGTTTAAATAATCTTGGGAGGTAAATAATAAAATTTTAAGCTTTTGGGCAAGTAATATCGTGCAATATAAACGCAGCATGAGATTGAACCGTTGAAGGCAGAATAGCCGCACTTTAGTAACTCTATGGAGTTGATTGCTTTTGGTGTAGTTATGTACATACATATAATATGTTAGAATGTTAATAGAATGTCATCGTTAACGAATTCTCGACACGAGCGTTGTGACAAGAAATGAATAATGAACATTTCTGATGCAGGTTGAAATATTCACAAGAGCTAACTACAGCTTAATGTTTTTAAACGACTAATCTTAAAACCTACTAAACATTATTAGGAATAATGTATCAGAACAACAATGAAAACATGGTTTTTATAAAAAAAACAGTGACCTTAAATAGCTATTTTTTTTAAATGCTTCATGTGTTAAGGAATCCGCTGCGGCTGCGCCCCGAGTCTCGCATCGTCATTACATAGCCCGCTGTGCCGCGCCTGCACTGTACACGCTGTTAACGGGAGCGCTCACATCTGGCCAGTGGAAATTTTCGCGAAGGTGAAAAGAGAATGGAAAAGTTTCCACTGGGCGGTGCGTTGCCCCGATGCCGGGTCAAGTTAGGTTTATACTACGTTAACCTAGGTCATTGACAATAATTAGTTCGCGGGTGACATAACAACGTGAGAGCTCCGTAATACTGCCTTTTTATTTGTAGTCCTATGAATTTAAACCACGGTGTATACCAACGCGTCCGGACTTCGCATGAGTAGAGCTTCCCAGAAATGAGGCGGCTATATGCCCATACCTCGTAAGGATATCAGCAGCAAAATGTTTTGCATCATAGAGTGCAAGCTTCTGTACAGTGACGTGTCGTCGGCAATGACACGGCTGCATCCCGCGCCGAGCGCCTCTGAGGCAACTTCCGGCAGTGCGCCGCCGCCACTTCCGCTTGCAACATTCAACATATAATTTTATATTAACTGCGCTGCGACTGCAATGATAGCGCGACTCAAGTATAATATGATTACATCAAAGGAAAAACCTTATGTTTGTGTTTATTTATGACTTTGCATGATGTTTTTACGTTTGCACGGAGTTATTATATTTATAAATATTTAGGAGCAATTTGTAAATCTGCGCTTCAAATTGCACACATCTATGTATCAAGTTGTCGTTGTGCCGGTCGGAGGACGGCGGGCGGCGGCTGGCTGTCTGCGGCTGGGACATGCCCTCGTTAAGTATATACATTTAAGTAAAATAAACACATTTCACAATGCAAACGCTTGTTTGTACTTTAAATAAATGAGAAAGTTGTTCTACGATCGGGAACCAATTGAGCAAAGTTGCTCCACATATGTATGTAAGTAAGTGAGTCGCTGTGAGTGTGCGCCACCGCAACGCCCGCGCCACCACGTTACACAAGCCGACAGGACCCGCCCGCACCACCCTCCGTTCACCCCGCTCCACTTGCTAAACTCACACCTCGCCTTTCTTCTCCAAGCACCGATAAGACTACAGACGCCCGCGAGTTACAAAACGGAGTTTGTTTCGAAAATTTCCAAGTTAAAAATGAAGTTTAAATCCAAATTCTTATGTAAAGTATCAATTAAGCCTGTGATCTTGTAAAAAGCTTATTATGAATATGATCGACACCGAGGAGAAAGTAAAGCGAACATTGCTATGCATTGACAATTGCTATTATTTACCAAACTTACGCTTTAACGTAAATTGTAACAAGTTTGCTGATGCATGATGAAAAGTAAGTGAACATCACATTAGGTGATGCATTACTTTAGTTTTAGAAGTAAACTTGTACGTTTTTATTTCATTTTCAATTAATATGAAGTACAAAACAGACTTCAAAAATCATCACATGATTCTTGGACACAGCGCGGGCGAGGCTCACTACAACGTCATTGAGCGGCAGGCCTTGTATTCAATGTATATGTCCTCTTACCTGAGTCTTTGAAGTCCAAAGATGAATTCAGATTCCCTACACTATGTTACTTTTTAATAAATGAAATTGAAATATCTTCATGAACGTCGTAATTCTGAGGTAGAAGCCTATTCGGAGAGCTGGTGTGACTGCTTAAGCTAAAGTAAGACAAGTCATGTATATTTCCATATTATAAGTTTCTGTGGAGCAATAGCAACTGTCATGTGATAAGTGTTCGGAAAGGTTGTATGTTTATTTTATTTTACTAAATAAAAAAAGGAGTACGTTTTCAAAATTTTATTAAACTTAGTAAAATAGACACCAGATGACACAAAATTTGGCACAGAAGAGCACACAATTATCCTTAAATATATACAAGAAA